ATTAAAGTCCCCATGAAATCAAAATTAAAGTTTTGTGGGTGTTAGTATCAATATGTTAGTCTTAAGGTTATCTATAAGGCAGTGTGCTCCAAAACAGTGACAAAATTAGCATTATAAGATATAAGCGTTCAAAGCGTGCAGTTCGTCACTTCCGCCAAAACGGCTCAACGATTTTATTTTTTTTTTTGACGTCACATCGTACTTCAGCTTCTCATCAAACTTTCTGTCCAATCAAATGCTCTCTAGAAGCCCCCTACACTATAAAATAGACGCTGAAGCCGATTGGTTGTCAAGGCAGCCAATCAGAATTTAGCAGCCTCGGCAGGAATCAGGTGAGCAAGCTAGTGAAACTTTGCACTGTGCAAAAGAGTAGGTCTGCACATTTCGTGCGCTCGAAATACTTTCTTCTTTGCAAGACAAACATTTTCTCCACAAAACTCAGTTCGCGCGAGTGCAAAACGCACTTTTGCGCGCTCAAAATATGATCTTTCGCGCGCAGAATTGTGGCAGAGATGTAATCCCATAACTATCGGGCAATATTCTTTGTCGACAATGGACGCAGTATATCATTCCGCTCATCCGGGTAATTGAAACTGGCGCGGCGCTTCGTCTTTACGCTCTTGTTTCATACGCAGCTGGCGTCATCTTGCGTTTCACTTATCGACTGTAGCGAAAATAACCTCAGATGGAGGAAATCAGTAATATTGTTGAGTCTTGTTCGTAAGCGGAATGTTTTGTACGTTGTCTTGTACGAATATTTTTTTTCTTAGCGGAAGCTTTGAGACAATACGGGTAAAATTCCAAAATAATTTCAAATCAATATTTATTGCCACGTATTTATTTATTTGGTGTGTAGTCGTATGATAGGCGGGATAATGTAGTCGGCCGGTTTAAATGCCCAGCTGACTGTACATTAACACGTACAAAATGTTGGCAACTGATAGCAAAAATTATAAGAAACAAATATTTAAAAACGTTTTACTTACAAAAACATTTTTACAATAATTTTACATTGTGTACTGTCCTGTTAAATATAGGCTATATATATGAAATTGTTTTGCCTTAAGGTAACTAGCAGTTAACGTCTGCGATTTTTACTGTAGTATTTGTATTTCTTTTCCATTGACATTTTCCCAATGTAAAGGGTTGTACACAACTGTACAAACTGTTTTGGTTTGAAATTTTTTATGTGTGATTGATGCATTTCTAAAACGTAAAGCAATTCTTTAACCTTGCTGGAGGAGCCAGCTGACAGTAAAAGGTAAAGTGCTGATCTAACAGCATCAGTTTGCATGTTGTCATGAACAGCGTGCGCACGCTTTATGTGTGTGCGCGTGCCAGCCTGGACGGGTGAGATTTAATGGTAATCCGTGTAACAGCGTTGAAGTCCATAATCTCTGCCTCCACCGCCGTGTAATAATTTGCTAGAGCTTTCCTCTTAAAACAAAGCAGCTGTATCTACGAGGCTGGCGCCATGTTGGCCTCGTTTAACGTTTTTCATTAAAATAGAGACGGTGGGCCAGCTGTGATGCCATGGCGTCTCATAGAGGGGTGAATGACGTTACCTTAAACGGTTTACTTATGTTTGAATTTGTATTTATATGACTCCACATGAATCACAGGTTGCCACGTATCCTATGTGTTTTGCATTATTTCAGGCTCAGTTCATATAGGCTAACCTCTGAGAACAGCCTTCCCATCACGGCAATGCGCGGCTGCTGAATGCTCACTCATCGGTAAGGTCAAAATGGACCTCGGATCCTGTTGAATGTTTTCTTTTGTGCAACGTGCTCTAAAATCGAGATTCGCAACAACGTTTGACTTTGCAGAATACAAAGTTGCAATAACTAAATTTGGCTGAAAATGTCTTTCCGTGAATGAATGCACGTTTATGATTCAGACTTTTAAAGATTTTGTAAGCGAAATATAGCCTATATATATAGCTATTTCTTCGCGTTTACCAGAAACACTTCGTACAAAAAAATAATAATAATCTAAAAATGATATATAAAAATATCAAAATGAATTAATTCGTATGACAGCTTGATTTAAGTATCTGACAAAAGATATTTAAAATAGAAGAACCAAGTCAACCAAATCAAAAATGCAGAGACTTGGTGACTTCGCACTCCAAAATAAGTCAATAGAAATGGTCGAGTTTTTAAATATTAACAATATAATACAAATGTAATATAGTCATGATTAATATAGAAAGATAGATGTTTCTATAAAGTACCGTTTTTTTTTAATCAAACGAGAGCATTGTGTGACATCGCACTTCAAATCTAATTGATTTTTTCTAAGGTTTTATTACAGCATGTATTTTCAAAATGCGCTTTTTCTGATTATTCGTATGAGTTGAGGAGACTGGTTTGCGAGTGTTACCTGGTTAGAGATGAGATCCTCACATACGGAGAGTGCCATCTGGATAGCGTTTGGCTTATGGGTGACTGAAATAGCGTTCATCTTGAACTTATCTTTGCCGTACATGTTGTTGGCTTGGGTGACAGCGTCTTTGAACACTTGTTCATATCTCTTCTGGCTCAGGACAGCCCCGATATTCACAGTCTTGGGTTCGCATCCGCCTCTCGCACAGGAGCACGAGATGAGGAAGGCGAACAGAACCAGACGCATTTTGCCCTGGATGGCAGAGGAATCAAGCTGAGTGCCCCGTGGAGGATGCGTGTCGATGTCCGTTGATTAGACAGATCCGCTGTCACTGCGTCCTCTCCAGCAGCACTGGAATGCGATCACCTCAGTCTACTCCGCAGAGGAATGGGCTTCACTCATTGAGTCCGCTCTTGAAACCCGTTCATATTCAAGAACCATGTCAACACGCCTTTGTGGAAAATGATGCTCGCTCCTGTTGATAGTCGCCTCACATATGCACTCTCTCTCTCTCTCTCTCTCTCTCTCTCTCTCTCTCTCGCTCTCGGGAGAAGGTGGAAAAATCAGTATTGCAGTAATGCTGTAGTCATCTGCGTTCACTTCTCCCGCTCTTGCCGTGATTGAATCGTAGTCAAGGTTTTGTCAAGGGTGACCTACCTCTCTGTGAGAGACGCTGTCCTTGGTGCTGAGAACTGTGCTCGCGCCTGATATCACGGAGCTGTCACGGTCGAATAGACTTCAAAACATTTGCGTTAATGCGTGGAAAATCTCAGGTCATCACAGTACCGTGCGTACGGATTTTCTAACGTTGATGTGTAAGTCACACGAGACCAGTAAGATGTACGTATTAGTTTCGTGTGAATTGTTATACAATTGGCAGATTAAAAACTAGATTAAAAAAATGACAATTTCTTAATTTCGTGTATTTGTTTAGTTCATCACTTGTCCAGAATTTTCTCACACGGTAGCAACCAGACAAACTGGTTTAGGCTATTATAGAATCGCCATTTATGCTTTCACATTAATCTGTTGGTGACATTTAGATGTGTATCTTGGTTTCCTTTTTATATGACACATTACAAGTTAATGTAGCCCTACCTGTGTCTTTGTGAAAAATCCGTGTATGACAAACTGATAAATCCATGTCATTCTTATACATTCATTATAATCGTTTACATGCCAAACTGTCGATATACTTGTTTTCCCTTCATTTAAAACAGTGAGGGATGCTTTTTCTCATAAAAAAAATAATCAATGGGAGCTTGTCTCCATCTATCACCCGTAGATAGATCCAGAGCAGGCGTGTTCGAGTGCAATGTAGAAATTCAACGAGACCTCCGTTACCAAGGAAACAAGCATCTCCGGCTTGAGTTGCAAGTGTTGTTTTTCCAGACACGGTAACTTACAATTATGAAAACTGCGTTTTATAAGATAAATCGAGCATATGAAGACTTCTTCTAAAAAAGTCTGTAAGAAAAAGGGTATCAAACTGAGAAATTATATATGTATTCTAGTGTGGAAGAAAAGAAATGCCTCATTTTGATTTTGCATTTAGATTACATCATTACTGGTGCCTGGGAGGACATCACTCATTATCAGGGATAAAAAAAAAACTACAACTTAAGTCAGACGTGGATGGAATTTCGATTTTAAAAATCTTGTTTGGGTACAGCAAGTGCAAGCCTTGTACCTGTAGGTTATTATTTATCAAGTTTGCTGTTGGCAGTTGCATTGATGTTGTCTTAAACCCAATCACTGCCTGAGATATGACTCGGTACACTGTAAAATATGATTTTTTTGAAGTACTGTAGTAAATAAAACAAAGATTATTGGAGCATGTTTTGCAAGAAAATACTCAAATACTGTTATTCAATGTTACTTGCTGTTTCTTTGTAATTATTTGTCAAATTTAATAGCAATTGCTGGGTTAAAATTGTTCAAAATGGAAAACCCTATGCCAATTTATTTCAGTGTAAACAGTGACTAAAATAGTTCACAATCCAATGAATAGGATTTACAATGAGTCATTGATTGTATGCTCTAAAAGTATATATATGCCAGCTTCGTCACATGCACATATAGCATGCATACTGCGCTTTGCATATTAGTCTCGCACCCACAAACACATGCAGAGGGGGATTAAAACATGACATGACTTGAGTGAACAACAGCAGGACAGGAGAAATACACAGATCAAATAATCATCACCCTCTTTTCAGGACAAGCCTACTCTTTTTTTATTATCTGTTACCTTAGACTAGTTTCACCGCACAATGAAGTTATGTGAACTGTGGACTCTATTAAAATAACGGGAATCATTAGACAGCAATACACAGAGCACTGAAGTGTGGATCTCTGCGAGACAAGGGAATGTGGATGAGAGGAGATGGCAGCCGAACTGCTACTGAGATGCTTCAGGCTCTCAATAAATGATACCAGTAGAGTTAGTCTCAAACTGGCTCTCAGCTCCCAAAGTGTGAGTTTGGATCATGCAGTGGTGGTGCACTATATAATACACGTTGCACTGCTTGTTAGCGTGATTTCACTTGGGTGGAACCCTGATATGTATCTTCTACACAAATTTGAATGCAAGCTATACAATGCATGTACACCCATGAATTGGAAATATAAGCAAATCACTGTGCAGCTTTGCTACATGATTTAATATTTGAGCATATTTAGATTTTTAAATTGCAAATTCCTTTTGGGTTGAAGTGAGACTCCTGGAAATTTAATGTTGTTGAAACCAGTAATGTTCCAGCCATACTGGCTGTATGCTTTATCAACTTTTTTGAAACACGTGGTTCTTTGCATACATAATTGAAATCATTCTATACCACATGCAAAAAAGACCTATCCAAAATGTCGGTTTAATTATTCTTAACCGTGCCTAATGAAGAGGCTTTTGCACATAATTATCCAGTACAACAAAAACAGACACAGCCTTGTAATGGTGCTATTAGCGTAGAGGGAAATAGGATTCAGCTGAATGTTTTTATCTCTTCTGACACACACATTTTGATAAATCTAAAGGAGGTTACTTGGAATTAAACCGTGAAGTGTATGCATCGTGCATGGTGGGAAACACATTGCATCTGCATGCAACATTTAAAATCTTGTGGTTTTCTCTTCCACTCAGAATTTAGCAGAGCTTAAGGGCAGAGCCATTCACAATGGATCCAATGGTTCCAACACAATGGATAATGGTTTGGTTTAAGCTATATTTTAATCCAGAGAAGGCTTGCAGGAAATTTGCAGAAGTAAGATTATTGAGAAGCTGGGATAAAGAAAATCTGCTCTCCTAATCAAGATCCAAAATATTATTTACTATATTCATACAATATTTTCACCTACATGCTAATGTTTGATTTATGCTAGATGCATTAAAATCATTGTGGTGTTGTGTACTGGAAGAGTAGGAGGCGTGCAAACCCGTGTGGCAGGAAAATAGCTCCACCTAATGGTGTAATAGTAGACCTTCAGGCCTTTCTTGAGAATGCAAGGCAACCATCCGAGAAATTTGTAATGCTATCTGAAGTCTCAGGAATGCATATTTAGTTCATAGTTGAGTTTTCAGCTTTATGAAAGTAACATAATCTTTTATCTATAAATGTTTAATTTTAAAAATTTGATTTAATTAATTTAATTTTCAATTGTCTTTTGTAACAATTACAACAAAACAAAACAAGTCATGCTGAATAGGAGTTTTTTTTCTTGATAAAGCATTATTTAATCAAGATCATTTATGGTATGCACATTAAATGACACAAAATCACACAAAATTACATTAAACATTTTAATATTGTGAAATACTATTACAACTTCAAATTGTTTTATATTTTAATTTATTTTAATTTATTTAAATTGATTTATTCCAGTGATGGCAGTCTTCCATTACTCCAGTCTTCATGTCACATGATCCTTCATTCATGCTGATTTGGTGCTCAGGTAACAGTCTTTTTATAGCAGTGTTGAAAACAGTTGTGCGGCTTAATATTTTTGTGAAAACCATGATACATTTTGTCAGGTTTCTTTGATAAAAAGAAAGTTCAAAAGAACAGCATTTATTTGAAGTAGAAATATGTTGTAACACTATAAATCACTTTGAGAACCTATTTTAAAGGCACTAAAATAAAGTTTATTTTTATTATTTATTTATTTATTATTATTATATTATAAATGTCTTTACTATCACTTTTGTTGAATTAATCTTTGCTAATTCAATTTAATGTAATTTCATTTTTAATAATCTTTTTTAACAAGAACAACAAAAGAGAACAATACTTATACTCATATTACTATGATTTTTTCTTGATAAAGTACATTAAATTAAGTTAAAAGTTTAAAACACGATCATTTATGGTATGCACACTAAATTTTCAAGTGCTGATGCTATGAAGGTAATTGCTGTAAGGGTTCAATCATACTTGTCTGCAGTGGCGAGGGGCTTGCCAGGCCACTGCTACATTGTGCCAGGGGATCTAGAAGTGTAAGTGGGCATGCTGAATAAGTGGGATCAAAAACAAAGAGCAGCAGAGATGGATTAAATTTAGCTCACTGTAGAGATAACTGCTGGCTTCACAGCACTCACACCATTTTCATACCATGTCAGTATATTAGGCATATCAGCATGAAGCTGGATGTTATCTGGGTTTACACCTGGACAGTCTCAATGTCCACTTTTTCTCTGATTGGTCTTCTGCTCAGGATCAGGTCCCCAGTGCTCATTGTAAATGCTGTAAGGGTCTTATCTGGTTGCTGTCCTTTCTGGGAAGTTTTGCTAGTAGCTCTCTGATATTCTCCCTTGAACAATGAATAAATCAGATATGCATTAGCAACCTCACAACATTAACTAATACCTCTTAACAGGCTATAATTAAACAGCATTAACTGAAGAACTCAGTGAAATACAGACTGGTTTGTTTGTACTTAGTTAATGAAAGAGATATTTTGAAAATGTAATTTAGTATATTTAGTCAATTTAATTTACTAAAGCAGTTATAGATGTGTTCCTTTCTCTGTTATATCCTTAGTTGGTCACATCAGTAACTTTCATTAATTTGGCACTTGAATATTTTGCACTTTTTGCTTTGGTATTTATAATGATTATTATATAATAATGTTATATAATAATAATAATTTACAACAACAATAACAATAGTAATAAATAATAATTTTAAATTATTGTTGTTGCTAGTAATAATAATGATGGTACCAATTCAACATTATTATTATTACTAGTATTATTGTTATTATTGTTGTTTTTTGTTTTATTTAATACAGTGTGTGTGTGTGCGTGCGTGCGTGCGTGCGTGACGCGTGTGTGTCGTTTATGTGTGTACATGTTTTCTATATTGGTGTTTACTTAAACCTGAATACACACCAACTGATGGGGACTTGTGTCACCGTGGGGACTTAAATTGCGGTCCCCATGGGTACAGAAGCTTATAAATCATACAGAATGAGTTTTTTTCTTTTCTTTTTTTTCAGATTGTAAAAATGCACAAAGTTTTCTGTGAGGGGTAAGTTTAGGTGTAGGGTTGGTGTAGGGCGATAGAAAATACAGTTTGTACAGTATAAAAACCATTATGCCTATGGGGAGTCCCCACAAGGATAGTGAACCAGACTGTGTGTGTGTGTGTGTGGTCGCGCAGGTTTATATGGTTTGAGCACACACATGTGCATAACATGAACGTGGTTTGTGATGAGGATACTTCCTTTATTATTCCATTATCATCCGGATGTACATTTTTGCCATGTGCACTGTCAGTGTATGTTGAAATACGTTTTAGAATTATATTTTTAGTTATAGGCATATACATTTTAAACAGTCTGTTTGCTACTTGCAAATAAACCTGTTTGTCCTTTAAAGCTCCGCACATGCGCTGTGAGCTTCTGTCTCTCTGAAGCCGCTGCATGCTTAGCTAGCTCTCATTGCACAGCACAGCCAATAGTGCAGCACTTCAACACTTTTCTGTCACTCATGCCGTAATCTTGTGACAGCGAGACAGAAGAGTCGGTCAGTATGCTTTCTATAATTAAACATCAACCCATAACCCCTCAGCTCCGGATTGCACTTTCGCTGGGATCGTTACGTATATGACATTTTTCATCTGCGCAAACAGCTCAGCAGTGTAAAAGGACGTGAGGTGTTCAAGATGGCGACTGTTTGAAGTTCGCAATCTCTGTACGGTAATACATTGTTTTTGAGGCGCCTGGTGCGTGTTTAATATGCCACATTTGTCATAGAGTAAGTCAGGTTTTAGTAAAAAACAGATGGCAAAGGGTGTCATTGACATGAGGCAGAGTTAACGCTCTCTTGTCAGCAGTGATGAATGCGCTGCTGTCACGTATGGCGTTTACAAGAACTGCTTTGCTTTATTGATTGAATTTAACACTTACTATTAGACTGAGGAAAACAGTTAAAGGTCTTTAGATTAATATTAGGTTCAAGTATTCGTGAAGTCAAGAGTCCAGCTGCTTTTAATTTGCCTTCAGTCTTTATGAACGCTCGCAGTTCAACTTTCTTCGCTAGAGTCTGAATCCAGCATGACCGTCTAACGTTACATTTGATTTTCATAATGTGTGCGTCTTAATACCTAGTGGGCTGACTACCTAGACACCATATCTTAGGCATCATAGACGAGTGCCTTGCTGAGATTACACACTTGCAAAAGTGTACTGTTTTATAGTGATGGTATCAAATGGTTATACCATGGTGCTGAATGAATACCATGTTCATGTACCGTGGTATTTATGTAGTGCTTAAAAGAATACCATGGTATATGCCCAGACAGAAACCTTGGTATTGCCATGGCAAATAAAAAATGAAAATGAAAAATCATACTGAACCCCATAAATATATGAGTGTGATTGTGTGCATGCATGCATGCATGTCCAAAAAAAACATGGTATAATTGTGGTAAATGTGCTAAAAAGGTCATGACAATAGCATAGTAAATGTCAGAAAACATGGTATTGACATGGTACATGTCCAAATCCATGGTACCAGTCAAAAAACATGAAATTTCTATAGCATGGGTAAAAAAAATGAAATTGATGTTACTCTTGTCCTAAAACATGGTATTTCCACATTACATATAAAACCGAGGTATGAATATTTGTACACTTTGGTACTTTTTGTTGGTGCAGTATTTTAATTGTAGTTCCAAGCTTTCAGCAGCAGACTCTTAAGCACACCTGTCCAAAATGCTGTCTATGTAGGCACTAGGCACCTTGCTAGATTTAAAGCCACAGCCAATGTTTTTCAGTAGCAAGTTGGCTTCAGTCACATTATTGTTCTGTGTTTTTTTTTTTTTTTTACAGTGATCCGTGTTTTGTATTTTTTGTCACTAGTTATTGCATACACACACCCTATGCTGACACCACAGGGCATCGGGGAATATTTTAAAATGCAATTTATTACTGTGATGGCAAAGCTGAATTTTCAATCTTCAGTGTCACATGATTATTCAGAAATGTAAAGCATAATATTAATCATATATATAAATCAAATATAATATGCTGATATTATTATTGCCAATGTTGAAAAGAGTTTTGCTGTTTAATGTTTTTTTTTTTTCTTCTTTTTTTCAATTATACATTTGGTCAGAATTCTTTGGATAGAACATTTAAAAGAAAAGCATTTATTTGAAAAAGAAATCTTTTGTACTGTCATTAATGTCTTTATTGTCATTTTTAATACATTTAATGCATCCTTGCTAAATAAAAGTGTTTTTTTTGTTTTTTTTTAACTCACAGAACCCAAACTTTTGAATGGTAGTGGTAGTTTTTTTTTTTTTTTTTCTACTTTCAGACTGACTCCGATGTCGTAGTTCTCATAACTGGTGTGCTGGTGTTGATCGCTCTACTACCCATGATTCCTCAGACCAGTAAACAACTTCTGTGCGATTACTTTGATATCTTTGGAAGGCTTGCTGCCTGGAACCAACGTCACCCAGGTACTCGGGCATAAACACTGCAAATATATTTGGGTTTTGTAAATGAAATGGTGTTTTTTAAAGGGGTCATATGATGCTATTTTAAAGATCATTATTTTGTGTAGTTGGTGTAACAGAATATGTTGACATGCTTTAATGTTCAAAAAACACATTATTTTTCAAATACTGTACATTATTGTAGGTCCTCTATGCCCCGCCTCTCTCAAACGCACACTCCAAAGAGAAAGGAAAACTTGAAATCGCATCATATGACCCCTTTAAGCTTCAGTTCTTGGAAGTGCAATGTTTCTAGATAGTTGAAATATAACTTGGTCTTAAAGGTACTCTTTCTTTGAATGTGTCCTGTAGGTCATGCTCAGGGAGTGTTTGCAGTCCATCTACATGCCAGCGTATACTCGCTTTTTCATCGTTTATATGGCATGTATCCCTGTAATTTCGTTTCTTACTTGCGTGCCCACTACAGTATGAAGGAAAATGTTGACACATTTGAGGAAGTGGTGAAGGTGAGGTTTTATCTTTCATGCCAAAAGTGGCCAAATTATTATTACTATTTCAACACCTGCTCTACAATTTCCTTCTTCTTTTATATCAGCCCATGTTAGAGTATGTACGGATACATCCTGAGCTCATCACTGGAACCAAAGACTACGAGGTTGATCCAATTAGGTATGTAAAATGAAATGTTACAATTTCTGTTATATCTTAACATGATCCAGTGAACCTGATTTTTCATACTTTACTGTTTTTAATTGTGTGTAGATGGAAGAGATTTGAGCCTCATGATATTGTGATTGAATGTGCCAAAATTTCACTGGATTCTAAGGAGGCATCATCTGAAGAAGGATACTCCTCTCTGTCGGATCACATACCACGACGCCCTGTGGAACATAGCCGATCATGCTCAGAGCTCAGCATCCATGGTAAAATGACATATAATGTTTAATGCTGTTTCTAATTCAGTGATGTTCTGTGTAGTTATTGTTTGTAAATGTTTCCAATGGAAAAAGGAAATCCAACCACAAGGGAGAGTTGTATTTTGAAAATCAAACCAAGGCATTTGCATGCACAGGTCTTCATCACAAATAAAGAGCAACGATTTATTATTTGAAAAAAAAAATGCACCCTATGAAATAAACAAGATAATGTAATCCAGCAATTAAGAAGCACAATAGAAAACAGGTCAAGAGAAAGGTTACATTCATTAATTCTGTTAGGCCCAATAAGATGAGGGGAAAAAACGGTTATCAATACACAAATACATAAACATATATGTAGAAAACTACTATAGTAGAAACTTACCAAATGCCAAATCTTCATTCATATCTAAAGGAGATCAACATGTGTAATCTACATGTAAAGCTGTTTATATTAACAATGTATTAGACCACAGAATGGCTAAAGGCTTTGACACGTGTGTGTGTTAAGAATTAATAACATTTTCAGATTTTTCCTGTGAGTACTGATTTTGAAACTTACCTACTTTCTGCTAACAGAAATCACATCGGTCACACCAGTGGCTTCTGTTCATCAGTCTCTTTTTCTGTCACTACCTTATCTCACTGTAACCCAAGACTCAGGTTCCAGCGCACAGACCCCCAACCATCAGGTAAGAATCCTCCAAATAAGTAGGCAAAATGACCAAAATACTTAAATTACTTACTTAAATTTCCTGATAATCTTTGTACAGTAACTGAAGTACAATAAAAGTACACAGACAAGACAAGTAAACAGTCAGTAATAAAATAAGAACAAAGACTATAAATACAATCAAATATAAATAAAATAGAAAAGAGTTCATATAAAAAATTCGGTAACACTTTACTTGAAGGGGTGTGCATAAGACTGACAAAAAATTCATACTGGTTTGTCATGTCTACTGGTATATTGCCTACCCCTAGTATGTAGTTATCCAAATTGTTTTGAAAGTCAGAACAAGCCTCTAAATGTAGATTAGCATGTCAGTGACCCTTAACTGAATGAAGTTATGTTTGGTCCATCAATAGAGTGATGGGATGAACTCCTCAGGGACAAAGGAGGAGATGTGGAGTCCTTCCTCAGTGTGTGGGATGACCACCCCTCCCAGCTCTAGAGGAATGTCCCCCACCACAGTTTCTGATGTCTCACATAGTGCCTCCCACCTCTCAGGACGGATCCCCAGCACGTCAGGTCAGCCAAATGCATCCAAGTCTAGAAAGCAAAAATGGTTCTGTATGTTTGTTTAGTCCCTCAGATGGCTTCAGGGGTTATTTTTGTTACAGGGGATGGAAAATGGACCCTTTCTCCCTCCACACCCTCAGGGTCATCTCCTCTCCCATCACTCTCAGAGGAAATAGGGCAGCTTGCCCAAAACACCAGCAGTACTCAGGCTAAGGTACATGGACGTATAAAGCATTTGCTTCATTACTTATTAAACATATTCTGTGAGCGTGTTTTCATAAAAATGCTTTTCTGTCTAAAACTATTCAGGTGATTCAGACAGGCAAAGACCTGAAGAAAGTCACGCCTAGAAGTATTAATAACAATGGTGAGTATCTGCTGAGATTTCTAGAGTCTCATTTCATTTAGTAACTGACACACGCTTAATATGCTTTACTTTTGCTACTTTTAGGAGGTGCAAGTGATGCCAAGACTCCGGTGTCATTGGAGCAGCTCTCTGACATTGTCAAAAGGACAGACGGGGAGAGAGAGGATGGTGAGAGCAGTGACATCTTGCAAAACAATAAGTGTGTTTAAAAGTGTGTTTAATCAAGCCTTCATTTACAATGAGCTCTTCGTTCACCAACTTCTCCAATGTTTTCTTTCAAGATACCATCAATGAGGAGATTTTGAGTCTGACCCATGGGAGACTGGAATTCGGAATGAGACTGGATTCCTCATTTTCTGGCTCCTTCGACACCCTCCTCTCGTCTCACCCCAGCCATGAGCAGAATTTAGTGTCCACACCAGACAGGGTTGAATTTTCTGCCAAAGGAGGAGAGCAGCAACCCTGGTCCCTCTGGCCCGCTTTCACCCCCATTGAAAACGGGAAGTGTAGTAAATGTTCTGTGTCTGATCTGACGAAGGAGTCCATGCCATATGAGCCACTGTTTGACCTCGCTCTGCCTAAAGTGGCATCTCTGTTTTTGGAAAGGAAGACCGCAGAGGCCATCCAGAGAGCTGATGAAGAAAGGGAGCACCGAGAGGAGCTAGAGGGAGAGGATCTTTCTGCCACTTCCCCTCTGGAGGTATTGGACCGGGTTATCCAGCAGGGTCATGACACCCATGAGAAAGTGCTGAAGAGGTACGCTTCTGTTTTTCTTATGTCTGATACGACTATTGAAAGTGTTTTTAGAGGAAATGTGACAGAACACTGTCTGTTTGCTCTTTTACAGAACTCCGTCTTCTCAAAGCCAATCAGCAGACCCACACTCTGGAGGTAAACAGCATAGCAATAAAGGAAAAGGTATTTAGTTATTTTACTAATTCATAGGCTCTCCATGCTCAAGACGAATGTGTCCTCCAACTTTTCTCTTACAACTTTCCTGTTTGTTTCCATTTTACTGACGCTTTCCTCTAAATACTTTTATTCTTTCAGATTCTTCTACTGTCTTCTGTGTCATTCTTTATAAAATCCTCAGAAGCAGCATTGTGTTGGTCCTGATAAGCCGAATAACCAGAATCCCTGTAGATTCTCAGTAAAGCTGCACGATATTGTGGCTTAATGTGATTAATGTGAAACACGAAGGCTGCAGTTTAATTAAATAATATGGGCTGCAGAGTTTCAGAGTGAAGCACAGCACTGTTCATTTACATGTGTGCAAATGATCCAAATCAACAAAATTAAAGCTCAATGGTTTAATGAATGGTTCAATAGTTTAATGTAAATTTTAGTGTTGTAATTTGCTGTAAAATAAAATTACTTTTGTCAAATTATTTTATTTATATTATTGTATTTTCCTTAAATTATCATGTTTTTTCCAATATTCTGCAGCCTTAATTATACAATTATTTTTAAACATTTAAACCACAGCACTATTCTGTTGCATTTGAATTGACTGCAATGTATTTTTCCAGGTCCTGCGTCTACAGCGTCAGATGAGCTGGGGATGTTGCACAGTCAGCTGCTGTTGCTGCATAACCAGCTGCTGTATGAGAGACATAAGAGAGAGCAACATGCACTTCGTAACCGCCGTCTGTTCGGACGTATTGTCAATGCTACTGCACTGGAAGAGCAAAACAACTCCATGGTAATGAATGAAACTGGAAGAAGTATCTATGCCTGTGCAAAATTCTGCATATAATTGAAAAGCTTGTCAGTTCGACACATGCCCCATTCTTTGCATACTCATTAAATATTTTTGTTTGATCACACTTTAACCACCCAATAAACAATAGTACTTTCAGCTCCATTTATCACAATTTACCAAATCCAATCTGAGGAATTCTGTAAATGCTCCTTTATAATCATTTCAGGAAATGTTCCGGTCTTGGCATGACTGATGACATTATCCTGTTAAAACCCCGCAAAAGTCTTGTCAGGCTTGACACAAAAGCCTTCTTAAATTGTTGTTTTTTTGTAATTTGTTACTTGAAATTTTGTTGTTAATATCAGCGATTTTCCAGTGGTGTGGTTTTTGTGTGTGTGTGGCAGAAAACCCAACTCAAGCTTCAGGACATTGAGATCCAGGCTGTGCAGGTAAGCCTGAAAGAAGAACAGCGGCGCTCCAGGCATATACAGGAAGACAGAGACGCTCTTGTGAACCAACTGCAGACTCAAATCCAGCAGCTACAGAAGGAGCGGAATGACTACTACTCAAAGATGCAGGAGCTAAAGGTGATCATAGGGTGATGGGACATGAAAAAATCCATAGTTAATCTTATTCACTCACAATACAGCATCAAAAATGGTCAGCATTTGCCATTCTGTTGCTGTAATGTAGAAGATAATATGTGCTATCTGTGTTAAATGCTAATGTTTTATGTGGCATCATTTACAGAGTGATTTGCAAGAGAATCAGAAGAAGGTCAGAGAAATGGAAGCAGAGCTCCAGAAAGCCAATAACAAAGTGTGTAATATGGGACACATGCTCAGCCAGCTGTCCATCAAGGTAAGACTTGTTTATGACAAAGATATGTTACATTAAACGCTATCACACTGCCAGAATAATTTGAAAGCAAAAAAAATTTAATTAATTAAATATTGCCCTTATTTATTTATGGTCAGAAGAAGGTCGGAGAAATGGAGGCAGAGCTCCAGAAAGCCAATAACAAAGTGTGTAATATGGGACACATGCTCAGCCAGCTGTCCATCAAGGTAAGACTTGTTTATGACAAAGATATGTTACATTAAACGCTATCACACTGCCAGAATAATTTGAAAGCAAAAAAATTTTAATTAATTAAATATTGCCCTTATTTATTTATGGTTTAATTTGTGTTCCTGATTTATCCAACCTCAGCTGAACAATAGTGAAAACATGGAGCAGCAGATGGCTTTCCTGAACAAGCAGCTGCTGCTTTTGGGTGAAGCCAACAAGTTATGTGTGGAGGAAATCGACCGCTTGGGACCTGAGGCTAGCAAGGTAGACAATGATTATTAACTACTGATGACTTATCATGACTTGCATCATTGTGTAAAATCCAGCAGATCTCTAGTTTGTGACAGATTTGTTTTTTTTAACAGCACTCTGTGAAATTTAATTCTTATACCTTAATAAGTTGATTGTTGACTTGATCTCTTTTGTTACTTGTTAGGAGCTGAATATGCTGCAGGCATCTTCACTGCGTGAGGCTGAGCGTTTGAGGCAGAGCTCTCTTCAGCAGAGTCAGAGACTTGAAGCCGCTCAACAGCGCATCACAGACCTGGAGACCCAACACACCAAGAAAGAGCAAGCCATCCGAGAGCAAAAGAAACTGCTGGAGAATGTCAAAAGCCAGGCCACGTATGAGCTTACCTCTGTCTTCATTATCCTGTTGAAAGTTTAAATTCATTTTCTGATGTTGGTTTGATTCTGAGTCTTATTTCTATGCTCAAACACAGGGGATTATTGATTTATATTATATTATATTATATTATATTACATTACAGGGTTTTCAGAATTTTTTGCCAGTGGTACACCTTCTAGTACACCTTCTACCCCCTGAGATTTTATGTTAATATTTCAATAATTTAACACATTTGCATGTTCATGATTCTCTGATGACAGTTAATCGTCAAATGCAGGCAAAAAAACAAAATAATGTTTTACTTTGATTTTTTTTTTTTTTTAAATAAGTAAATACTCATTTTAATTTAGCATATTTATGATTTAATTATTATATTTAACAATTTATGAACCTCCTGCATTTTCCACTTGAATTCCAAGGGGTTCGCTTACCACAGTTTGGGAGATTTTTCTTTTGTTCTTCACATTTAATTATGTTTACTTTTATTTTACTTTGTTTATATATATTAAGAATATGTTTACTAATGATGCAAATGATATGTCTTATAAAGTGGTGCTGTATTGATCTGCAGAATATGGATCATCAGGTTCTTTTAATCTCTTCAACAGCATCTTGCTGTAAGATTTGCTAATATGATCCTTGTCTGTACTGGTTTTTTGTTTCCTGTAGGGAGCATCTGCAGGCTTCAGAGAACAGGTATCTGGCCCAGAAGCACATCACTCAGGCATTACAATCTGAGCTGCTTGAGCTCTATAGCCAAATAGAGCTCAAAAACCTGAACACTAAATCACCAGCAGAGCCCACTTCTGAACCCAACAGTCCAACCAAGCAGAGGTGTGTTCCATATTGTCATGCACAGTAGGGCTGTCAAAATGGCTGAAAAACTAAATTCAAATTTTGTACTTAAATATTATCAAAATTCGAATTATATTCCAATTTAAAATGCATAATTTCAGTTAGAGTAAAGAAAAGCTTTTGGTTTCTCTTCTGAGGCCACAAGAGGGCGCATCGAGCAAAATATTACTATTGCAGGTTTATTCAAAGCATAAGATAACATGAGTATCTGTCAAAAAAGTGCATAATGTTTACAATAATGTTTATAAACCAATTATAATTAATTAAGTTGCTTAAACAACTATAAACGAAACGGCATCATGTATATATTCATAGTTTAATACAAAGGGCGGATAGCCAATCACACAGAGTACATTTTTCATTTAAAAACATGAGATGCAGTGGGATGGGGAAAACCCCGCCATAAAGTCTCGATAGGCCTATATGTTTTTTTCAAAGTTAAACTTGCATTACTTTTACATGGCTTTCTAAACATGCGGCTCTTTTGTGCGAGACGCGAGTGCAACAGTAATAGATGTCCGTCTAATCTAGAAAATGCGTGAAATATGCGTTCTGTGTGAACGGCTTGGTTTCGGTTTTGATGTAAACAAGATCTTCTCCGCATTGATGTTCTCTTTTTCCGCAATATTTTTAATGAACAATGCAGCAGTGCCGCATCTAGTGGCTTCAACTGGATAGGCTAACAAAAACATTATAATGCAACGACACTTACATCGTCATCGCATCTCGTGCGCCACTGATAAGGCTGCCTCCTTAACGCACAACTAAAATTCGAATGCAACGTTTTTGCATTCTAATGTGGATTTTTATTTTAAATTCAACGAATATTTTAAATTCAAATTTTTTTTGACAGCCCTAATGCACATATGTTTCTCCTCCACATGCTGATTTACAAATGCAAACAATTTGTTCTGTAATGCATTCTAGACTTTTTGTGGCAATATAAAAGACAGAAAGATGATGGGTTATTGAAAGTATAGCAAAATTCTATTTCCGATTGTGTTTCAGGCCAAATGGCAACCGCACAGGCCCATCTGCTCCGTCAGCTGACCCAATGAAAAAGGAGGAAGGCATGCACGTGTGTGTCAATGGTGAAATATCTGCCGGGTCTCCTCAAACACCCACAGCACTCATTAATGGCAGTCAGGAAGAAGATCTTTCCGCCCTTACCCATTCATTTCCTGCTCTCCCCTGCGACTCCCCACTGGCAGTTGGCTCTTACCCCAGTACCAGAAGCTTTTTGGGCAAGAGAGCCAGAGAGATGTTTCGAAATAAGAGCGAGAGCCACTATGAGGGTGAGCCGGCCGCCTTCACCTGCCTCTCTAAGGATCTTAAGGTTGAGCCAATCACAGAGCCCACAGAGAGCGTGGAGCTTGAAGAGGCTACTGACCAGGCTGACCTGCAGCCCATGGACAGACCCAGAGCGTATAATATTCAGCGGAGGAGGCAGCAAGATCTGAGGATCATGGACTACAATGAGACCCACCATAAGCATTGATTGTACACTGCTGATAATTTTGGACCCAGTATTAGAATGCACTGCTCTTTTTGTTAGAGTGGTTTGCAAAGTTTTAGTTAATTTTAAAAGCTCTTATACTACAAAACAGCCAAAAAAATTAAAAAGTTGTTGGTTGGCAGGTGCCATGTAGTCACCACAGTGGCAAGAGAATATCTTGTCTTCAAAAAAGCGTCACTTATATTTTGTCTATTACGAATTCATTTTTTTTTTTTATAATCTGCATTTAGTGAGCGACCGTGGTGATTATATTGCGTGGTGGTTGGATGTTATTCGGGCCTCACTGTACTTTTCAGCAAATCTATTGACTTAATCACTGTATTTGCTCTTGTAATTGTACCATCCGGTTTCCAATCCTCCTTAATTTGTCCACGCAAAATGGCTACTTGAGTCGCTTCGAGATGAGCATTGTTAATTTCCGCTGATGTGACTTAGAAATTGCACAATACCGAGTGTGATCATTGCAAACGCAGCACTGTAAATAGATCATGCCTATGAAAAACCAACCAATCAGTCCGATAAAAATGTGAAAAACAAAAAAAAGCTATGTGGAATAGGTGAAGTAGAATAAGAAATCACATTTCATTGCTGAGGCGAGCCATGTGTATATGCCGTAGCAGTGCTTTGTGCGCTTCTCCTATAGAGAATAAGCAAGTGTTGTTTCTAGTAATAGATTTTATTTTTATGCATTAACGTTCTCCACTGGGATTGTAGCGCCCAGTCACCAGTGCAATACTTCTTAGCTAACACTTCATGCCATCTTGAAGGTATGAGTGATGATGGGAAAAAATAAACCGATTTAGATTGCTGCTTTGCAGGACCGTCAGAGCCTTACAGAACACAGGCCAGGCTGCTGTAGGTGCATTTGTCCAGTTGAGACCTATTGTGAATCGAGAATATCTTTGTGGTCTAAGATGTGTCTGAAAGGTGAATGCTCTTGTGTTAATAGCGCCCCAAATACGGCCACTGCAATACTTCGACACACTAAACTCTGAAAGGAAGCTGCTCGCTATAAGCCAGAAGGCTTATGTCCCTCTATTATGTTCTTTCATTTCTGTCTTACACAGGTCAGACCCCATCTGCAAAGAAAAGGCTTCATGTAATGGGCTGCAGCTGGCTGAAGTAAAAACACTTCTTTTTTTAATTCAAGCCTTCTTAAGATTGCTGAACCTTAGCAGAGCAATATACTTGTCTCTTTCTAAAAAAAAACTTGCCCCCGGGGTTTGTTTTCAGTGTGGGATATAGTTGGAATATTTGAAGTGCTGTTGTAAAGAAAATAAAATGTTGGCTTCGGCCTGCCAGCTGGGGAAATGGCTTCGAGAGTTTACAATGAGAATTGAAATCTAGAAATCATTGCTGTTTTTTTTCCCTGTTCAGACTGTTCTTATCACAGTTCACCATGAGTGTGATCTTACAGCTTGTGCTTTGTTTAACTGTCACTCAAACTTTGCTTTCTGTTTTTATACCAAAACCCCTCAAACATTTTGTTGTTTCACAAAATGCCTTACTCAAAAAAAAAAACAAAAAAAAAAAAGTAGGAAGCCTGTCCATCACCTGAAGTCATTTGTTGAAAGTTATCTGAACTATGGTACAATCAGACGGTGACGGGTGTAACAGGTAACGAGGGACTCTATTTTCAATTTGAGAAAACAGATTTGTGTTCTCCTACTTGCTATGATCAAAAAAAATTAAAATAAAATATATGTTTTGCATATTGTGTCATAGTCATCCATTTAATAATGGTAATTGTATATTTAATAATACTTTGTGTGGTAACTCACTGGAATACATGCATAAGTGTTGAACAAGTGTTTTATTTCCTTGTATGTCCTCCTGGTGGCTTCCAGGCTGGTTTTCTTTTTTAAATCTACTCAGGTTTTTACTGGTCTCTTTATCAAGGTCTGCAACCATCTCCACGTTTTTAATATAAAAAACGTACGTACAATCTGTGAGTCAGAACAGCCGGCATTGTAGTCTACTCTCCCAGGATCAGGAAACAGTCCTCCATAAAATGTGCTGCACACATCTGAATATTTGGGTTGAAGTGTTCTGGAACAGTGTTGTAAATACAACTTAACCACTGATTTCTAGTCGTGTCCATTTTTGGAAAGCCAAACAAAGTAGTTTCACTTTCGCAATGAAACACAGAGTCACACACTGCGGCCTAGAGTGAGCAGAGGCGGCGGGCTTGAGTGAGGAACGGCTGGAGGGCTAGAGTGAGCAGAGGCGGCGGGCTAGAGTGAG